ATCCGCCATGTTCTTCTTTCAACGTCGCCTCTTCTGCTCGATCGGACAAAAAATTTCGATGTGAGTTGTTAAACAATGATAAATACTCTACAGGTCCAGGTCAACTGGTCAGTTCACAGGAATATCATCATTACAGCATCAAGGTATTTAAAGAGAACCACTTATACAATCCTCCTAAATAATAGACGCGGTGAGGCACTGGACGAGATCTCTGCGTAACAGATGTCTTCACTTTCTTAATAATCTCTTTTAAAGCGATTTTTAGATATCTTTTCGCAGATCATGGCTGGATCTAAAACATCCAGCGGTATGTGGTGCATTTTAGTCATTTGGGCGAACCAATAGGTATCTCTTCTTTTTATCTCTGAATTTATTTGCTAGAGACATGACAGGCGCTTTCGAGTTTCGAGAGGAGTTTTTCTTTAAATAATACCTTTTGGAGGATTTGGTCTCCCATCCGTAGTCCTCTCATAGAAGAGCATAATTGCAAGTATTTTTCTTTCGCAAGATAAAGATTACAACCAAGTAATTTTATATATATTGGGGTATCAAAATCGTCTTTGCAATTTACCCCTAATGTGCCTCTATTTAAAATTTAGTGATAAATCAATGTTGTGCTTGAGAAACCATATGAAAGTACCGTGCTAAGCTCTCGGTCCGTAGTAATTTGGTAAAATCAACTAATTTGAAATTGCAAATTGGCCTCCGTAAAGAGTTAAAAAGCAGACGTTTCGAGCGTTAGCCCTTTTTGAAAAACGTGGTTACCCTGTTTCTTTCGTTCAAGTGGGTCACCACGGCGCCCAACTTATTGATCGACAGTCAGCACTACAAACGTCAGAGAAGGAAAATTTCGACCGCATTCCATTTACCCTCACATTTTAACCCTCACAAACATTCAGTTTAATCCATTATTATTAAAAACTTTAAATTACATCAAAACGATCCAGAGACTGGCACTATCTTTTCGCAACCCCCACTCATCTCGTTCAAACGCGACAAAAACATAGGCAATTTTTTGATCAAAGGTTCATTACAAACTGATGACCAACCCGGTACTTTTAAAAGCGCCCACGCACGATGCAAAACTTGTCCTTTCATTCACAAAATCTGCGGTCTTTCCTTACCTTTAGGTAGTTCGGAAAGCCGCAAGACTCTCGAACAAAAGTTTATCTTCCAAATCGGCACTCTTAATCCCACAGGTATCAACGAACGCTTTTCATTCTACTAATTTATTCGTGTTTTTCTCGTCGCCATGCTCCCACTAATAGCGTAGCTTCACTTTCTGCATCTAATCCCACACACAACCCACAATTCCTCCATTCACTCTGACGATGGGCTAACGCTCGAAACGTCAGCATTTTAACTCTTTACGGTGGCCAATTTACAAATTTAACTTTAGTTGATATTACCAAATTACCTTGTTACTCCCACCGAAGCAGCACAAAAGTTTCTTTGGAAACTTACCCCCGTTATTCTCGGTCTGTGGACTTCCTAAAGAAATGACATTCATGCGAATAACCGCTGATTTTCGCTTCCCTTAATTTCATACTCTTATTTATTGACTGCGATACGAATCTGAAGCAGAGAGTAATTATGACTACAGCCTTCGATCTCGTCTACAGACGCCATGTTCAAGCTTCCCCTGTCAAAACAATAGAACTTGCGTTCCACATTATTCTGAAGACCAATTCCATTGTGATTGTAATCCTGGAGTCACTGGAAATCTTTGTCAAACAAGTAAGTAAGCTGGGAAAACATTTTTTGTTTCACTTTTTCGGAGAGGAATAGGGAAGAAAAGTTTCAAAGTTACCCTACTGATTGAGAGATGTAACGGGCAATGTCGATGGTGGAGTGATCCGATTGGTGTGTCAGTGGTGGAATAATAACCAGTTCTCTCTCTCATAAACGTTTTCTTTATTTATTTTTTTTNCAATACTCCATTGGGGACGAGATTCATTTTTCCTGGTGGTAATCATGACTTTTTTAAGCATCAGAGGATGTCTCCCTACAGAAGATATTTTACTGACACATGAAGCTCGCCCATTAAAAAGAAACTTTCTCCTTGAACCCATTCGACTGAACAGGAAAAAGAGTTCGAAAATGAGATTGCGTTTGTTCCTCCAAAATCATCCGCCAACACTGCTCCTCATTATAAAACCTCGTGGTTGGTAAAAGGGAAAGGAACATTTCAGATTCTAAGACTGAGCCTTTAAAAACAGTTAGAGAGAAAACCGTCTAACATGGTTGATTATTATAGGTCTAAGGCCGCTAGTCAGTTGATTAAGCTTAACATTCATGGACAGCCCACATCAGTTTATTGTCACATGGGAGATTTCGGATGTGGAGACGGAGGATGGACAACGGTCATGAAAATTGATGGTAATAAGGTATAGAATCTTTCATTTTCCGATTATGTATTCTTACCGTCAGAACGAGCTAAAATATCTTGAACATTGCTGTTGCAAATAGATGCCAAGCTTTCTTCTTTGTCGATTTCTGATGTTATACTTTACACATAATCTTTCTTGTAAGTGAAGATGTTCAGCATCTAACTTAATAAGGAACTTAATAATCAGACACAGAGAAGCGATGCCTCCAGAAGTTTGAAAAACTTTTCACTAATGACTACTGCAAACGACATTGAATGATTTTACCCTAACATTTGTTTCTTTGGTAGAACACCTTCATTTATAGCTCGGGATACTGGAGTAATCGAAATGAATACCAACCAAGCGGAGGACAGACTGGGTTTGATTCACAAGAAACCAAGCTACGGACTTATTGGAGCACACCTTTCAAAAAGATTTGCCTCGGTATGAAGATTAACCAGCAGATCCAATTCATTGTTCTTAACCAGCAAGCAAACTCTCTCTACTCACTGATAGCCGACGGAAAGCTTCGCACCACCGCGTTAGGTCGTGACAAGTGGGTATCGTTGATTGCTTTTGGAGTCTCCTTACAGAACTTCTGTAACTAGGAAGGCTTTAATGTGGTCAGCGGTCTTGCTGATCATAGGAGAGCTAGAATTGGTATACTTGGTAACAATGAAAATGACTGTCATACCTGTGATACCAGAATTGGGTTTGGTACAGCTGGCCAAGGTGAAGGTGTTATTTGTGGAAACAATGGCAAAAAGGCTATGGGATACATCCTTGTGCAGTGATATTTAGCTCTTTTGACAATGTCAGCTTTCAACACTCTTAAGCTATGAGTACGTATACTTGTTTGAAAACAAGAACTATTCTTCGCAGTAGATCTAAGGTAAAGGAAATGATGTTTCGTAGACCGGGTTAGTACGCAAAAGCCTCAAAACCATCGATTTAATCATCAATCTGATGAATACGAGAAAGGGACTGAAATTTAGCCTAATAACTTACTTCCCAATTAATTCTTGCCACAAATTGGTTTCATCCATAAAATTAAAGCAAATTACAGGCGCAAGTAACTTTCGCAATTTCCGTATTGATTTATGTCTAGAAAGCGTTGTACATACAGCATACATGCACTTTATTGAGCTTCCCTAAAAAGGGCTTTTCAGCATCAATATTAAAAAGAAAATTAAATTAATTAATTAATAAATTACTTATATCACTAATTGATAAAATAACTATGTTAAAACTATGTACAAGGATAGCTAAATGATAACTGTATACAAGAGCCATCTGAGTATCTGTCTGAGTATTGGATTCCGTTTGCGCACGCACGTTAGCGAGAATTATCCAGGCCGCGGCCGAAGGCTCACACTATCACCAGCCCTCTTGAGTTTTATTTTTTCGTTCAAATTAGCAAACCTGTGTTTATCATTCTTTAACAGAATAATGGAACTAACACCTCAAATCATGTGAAACAACAGCATAACTACATTAATCTGAGGCTTTAAACGGGAGAATAAAGCTATAAAATCTCTACCACCTTTGAATGTCCCTTTATGATCTCAGTTTTATTTCGTAGGACACCTTTCCTTTTTCTTCGGCATACTGGACCCATAAGAATGAATACAACCCGAGTGGGGGTGCGATTGGATTTGACTGGGTAGAAACCAAGCTACCGACGTATTGGAGCACACCTTTCAACAACATTTGTCTCGATATGAAGATAAACAGCTATGACAGATTCCTGTTCATTAACAAACAGGCTGACCTATTGTACTCCCTTATCGCTGACGGTGCATTTCG